GGGGAGGAAAGGAGGGGAGGGAAAAGGGGAAGGGAGAGAAGAAAATAAAATAATATGGGTATACATGATAAACTGTAGACACATGAGAGAAGCAAATTAGAAGACTGGGAAAATTTAGAAACTTTTGATGCCTACTGACAAGAGGGACCATAATATGACTAAATGGCAATTTGCTTTTGGCACTGAAAAGTCATTCATTTAAGAATCATCTATTAGGTTAGCACTCATGCAAATGACCCTTCCTATCACCTCTAGGTAAAAATAGTTTCAGCAAGTAAAACTTACTCATTCATACTATATTTTCTATCATCATAATTTGGTCTGAAACACTAAGATGGGTAGATTTTCAACACTGTAGTTAAAGACATTAAGATTCTAATATTAATATGTTCACAAAAACATAGCTTTACAGAAGCACTGCATAAAGTGAATTATATATGTTTTACAACAGAAACATTTTTTAAACATTGAAAACCTAATTCAAAAATCAGGAGTTTATTTTTATTTAATTGAAGCAACTTAAAATGCAAGCTCACAGACAAGAAGAGTGCAGTAAAACTTTTAGAAACAAAAATGGCAATCAAATTAGTAAAATTAACTTAAGAAACAAAATCACAGAATCAATTTTTCAAAGATATGACTTTCTAGCTAACAAAATTCTCATCATAATTTTCCAACTTTTGCACAGTAAATATGATGTTCTCTTCTACCATGAAAAGTAACCTCCAACATCTTCATATGCTTTATATTATACTACAGAACCAGGCTTTAAGATCTGGATATCCTCTACCGAAAAATAGTTGTTTAATGGCAGTAAAGTAAAAGTTAAGATAATTTTTGGCAAGCATTCTATAGATATTAACTATTCTATACCTAATAACTTAATTCAAAGGTGTAACCAATTCAGTAACTTTGGAATACAAATGTATCCTAGTACAACAAATGTATCCTAGTACAAATATGAGGAGGATGTTCCATTTACAGAAGAATGGCAGGTAGGTATCCCAATTGATACCTGAACAGAAACAGTTACAAATGTTACATAAAATGTTTTTTAAATAATCTATGAACAAAAGGCTAATTAAGAAATACTCAGAGGTCAAAAGCTAAGTGGAAACAAGAATCAACAGAGTCAAGCAGAGGAAAAAAAGACCAGCTTTCTTCTTGAAGGCATCTGACAGACCCCAAACTAAAATGTTAGTTTTCAAGACCATGCAGGAGTGTTAGAGAACTGAACTCAGGAAGTCTAAAAGGCTGTCCCACAATACAGAGCTGGGAATGCCAAAGAAATATACCCACAAATTATGGGTGAACCATAAACAAATCTTGCCCCTTTATTTCACACTAGGAAAATCATAGAAATTTTCCCCAGTAATTGGGGAAAATAAGGGGACTCTCTAGCCACAAAAGTCTTCATGAAATCCAAATCACTATTAATACTACCTGGGTGGCTTGTAAAAACTAAAGCTAAAGATGTACTTTTAAATACTGATAGTTTCCCCCTAGGCATCCATCAGAAGAGACTCACCTTTGAAGGAACCCACCTTCAACCCCAGCATAAAAGACTTCCTACTTATGAATTTCCAACAACTATAACCTCACATTAAAACAGATACATTCTCAAAACATCCTGAGTAAGAGTCAGCAGAAAAACAGTATAATCAGACTCTCTAAAACTTTATGTACAGAAATTAACAAAAATAAAACAGAAAACAAGACTAGAGAGATACAACAAATAAATGCAATATATAATCTTCACTGGATCCTTCACAGCAGGGAAAAAAACTGTAAAGAATATTACTTGACAACTGAGAAACAATGAATATTAATCATGTAGGAAATAACATACTAATATTATATGTCTTCGGTATGATAAATGATTTGTGGTTTTGCCAGAACATGTCCTTATACTTATGGAATAAAATATATTATCTGCTTCAAATCATTCATACACACATGTGTATGTGTGTTTGGGCAGATGAAGGGGGAGAGAGAAATAAAACAAACGTGGCAAAATTTTAACCATTGGTAAATCCAGATGAATGGTACATGGCATATAATGTTCACTGTACTGTTCTTTTAAATTTTTGAAGGTTTAAAACTTTTCAAAGCAGTGATATTGGGAAACTCCCCTAAACAAATACTTTTTAAAATTCAAGGATTGACTTAACATCAAATGAAGGTATAGACAACAAGAAAAATACCAAACAGAAGCTGGATCTTGAAATACTCAAAATAAACAGAGAGACATGGATGAACAGTGTGAGATTAAACATTCATTTAATCAAGGTTCCAGAGTAAGAAGAAAGAGAATATGGGGGCGAGCCTATATACAGTTATAGCTAGGAACTTTCCAAAATTGATCAAAGACAGGACTCCTCAAATTCAGAAATCCCAACAAAGCCCTTGCGGAAAATAAAAATACTTTTACCCAGCTACATCACAGTAAAAATATAGACACATGATCTTTAAAGCTGCCAACAAAAAGAGACAAACTATGCTTAAAGAAAAGACAATCAGATTGACATCTGAATTTTCAGCATCAACAATGGAAGCCAGAGAATATGAGAATAAAATCTCCAATGAACAAGGAAAAAACAAACAATAGTCAACTTAGAACTATATATTCATGTTCTTCAAAAGTAAAAGTAAAATAAATTTTCAGACAAAAATTAAGATTCTATTACTAACAGACCCTCATGAAGGAATTTAAAAGCATGTAATCATCGCTGGGCACAGTGGCTCATGCCTGTAATCCCAGTACTTTGGGAGGCCAAGGTGCAAGGATCACTTGAGCCCAGGAGTTCAAGACCAGCCTGGTCAACACAGTGACACCCCATAACTACAAAAAATTTAAAAATGAGCCAGGCATGGTGGCTCATGCCTGTAGTCCCAGCTACCTGGGAGTCTGAGGCAGGAGGATGGCTGAGCACAGGAGTTTGAGGCTGCAGTGAGCTATGACCACAGCACTGTACTCCAGCCTGGGCAAGAGAGCAAAATCCTGTCTCCTGCCAAAAAAGGTTCATATTTATGACAGAAGAAGAAAATGTGAGAAGACAAACTGGTAAAAATTAGGATTAATTTTAAGAGTCATGTACAACAACAACAAGGGGGCTAAAAATAGAAATATAACATATGACAGCAACAGCACAACAGCACACATAGATCCTATATGACTTTAAGGAACAAGAAGATAGTGATTAACTTTATGCATAGACTAACTACGCATGCTAAAGCTGGACATGGTGGCCCATACTTGTAGTCCCAGCTACTGGGGAAGCTGAGGTGAAAGGGCTGCTTGAGCCAGGAGTTTGAGCGTTGAATCTATCCTGGGCAACATAACAAGATCCTGTCTCAGCAGCACCTCCGGCCTCTACCCACTAGATGTCAGTAGCACGTTCCCCATTGTGACAACCAAAAAAGTCTTTGGACTTTACCAAATGTCCCTGGAAGGCAAAATCAGCCCTATTATGAATGACTGTTCTAGGGTAACCACTAAAATAATAAGCTTCTGTGTTAAGACAGAAGAGCCAACAGTTGCTCCTTCCCAAACCCCACTAAAATCACAACAGTGAAATATGCTTAAAATGACGTAAACCCACAACAACAGGGAGAACAGTGAAGCAGACGAACAAAAAAGCTGAATTATCTACAGAGAAGAAAGTAGAATCTAAACCAGTATAGTGCAGACAAAGGCGGGGGGAATGAAACCCGACAAGCTTACAGAACAGAATCTGCAAATGGCTTGGCAACTGACGGTATGAGGTATCTCTGAAACTGGGGAGTGAAAGCAGTGGTACTAAAATAAGAATTAAAAATGCCAGAATCTCCTTCTACATACCTGGCTGCTACGTGTGCAGCCCGTCCCTACTCCAGCAGAAGTACGGAGAGTTATTCCCTCTGAGAAAGGAAAAATACTAAGATTCTGAGTTGAGGGACAATAGATACAATAGGGACATGGGTACCAAGAGAAAGAAGGGAGACTGAGGGGCCATGTGCAAAATGAATGCCAACACCAAGACACTGACAGCCCTTACCGTGTATAGGCAGGAGACCTAAAGATGTCTGTGGAGATTCTGATTAGTCCAAAAGGAAAGACTTAATGATTCCAACACTGGAGACTCTCCAACAAGGGGCTGACCCAGATCCCCATTAAATTTAAAAATGCCTCACAGTTGTGAGAGAAAATAATTTTCATTCTAGAATTCTACACCCAGGAATACTATCAATTAAATATGAGAGCAGAAGACAGATATTTTCATACACACACAGTTTCCATTTTACCTCCCATACACAACCCTTCTCAAGAAGTCACTGGAAGATGTGCCCCAGTCACTTTGGAAATATTAATCTTCATATAATTTGTACAGAGACCAGTAATATAAATTGAGACCCTGTATGGAAGTCATTCCCATCTATTTACTAAAATAGCCAAGAAATACGTTTAAAAGTTTCTATGTATACTTTAAATTCTTTTAGTCTATAATTTAGTCTTTTCCCTAATTCTCCAAAATTGTAAAATTTTACTTTATTATTGATCCACTGGATACCTTATTTTCAAATCTTTCTAATGTACAATTCAAATAAAATTTTCCTTTTTTTTTTTTTGAGACGGAGTCTCACTCTGTTGCCCAGACTGGAGTGCAGCGGCTCTATCTTGGCTCACTGCAGTCTCCGCCTCCCGGGTTCAAGCGATTCTCCTGCTTCAGCCTTCCTAATAGCTGGGATTACAGGTGCCTGCCACAATGCCCAGCTACATTTTTTTGTATTTTTAGTAGAGACAGGGTTTCACCATGTTGTCCAGGCTGGTTTCGAACTCCTGACCTCAAGTGATCTGCCTCCCAAAGTGCTAGGATTACAGGCGTGAGCCACCGCACCCAGCCAAATTTTCCTTTCTTATTATAGTTAAACATGAACAATTTTTCTACTTTTGCTCTCACTTAAACACTAATAACACAAGTTATTACCAAACTAAAGCTATAAATAAACCAACTGAAAAATGGGACAAGAAAGGAGTTATTAACTACAAAAAGCTTTTGGAGTCTCCTAAATACAAGATGTGTTCCCTGATTTTTCCAGCTCCTATCTACTTGAAGCTTGTTTTTATTTGTATGAGCTAGCTGCTTTCTATAAGAGCAGGATGTCCTACGCAGGTGGAGGGGCTCCAATCTACCAAATGGCAAGATTCACTCTATTCTATCAATCCTACCAAGTTACTCCTGTACATTTAAATAATCCCAAGGCCTCTTGCCAGACTACTGAGATAAGTGTTTCTAAAAATACAGCTGGCCAATTTACTGCACCATCCTGCAAGTGGTATGGAGGAAGGTGAAACCAGAAGGAGAAAAAGAGTACAGAGACTTATTAGAGAAAATAATGATTTTAAAGTGAATTGTTAGACTTAACAGAACGATTCAATTGTAGCAAAGGAATTATAATTATTTCCCTCATATATAAGTAAAACAATGGTCTTGTATCACTGATTGACAAAGAGAAAAAATGGGAAGTAGTCTGGCAGCCATACTAAGCCAATAGAGAAAAATATCACTTCTATTTATTTTGCTGGGTCACATCACATATGTTCTATTTTTTTCTAAAAAATGTCACTGGACAGCCAGGTGCAGTAATCCTAGCACTTTGGGAGGCTGAGACATGGGGACTGCTTGAAGTCAGGAGGCAAGACCCCATCTCTACAAAAAAAGTTTTAAAAAATTGGCCAATGGCATGTGCTACCAGGGAGGCTGAGGTGGAGGATCGGTTAAGCCCAAGAGTTTGGGGCTACAGTGAGATACCATTGCACCACTGCTCTCCAGCCTGGGCAACATAGCAAGACTCTATCTCTTAAAAAACTGAATTAAATTTAATTTAAAATATCATCAGCTTGTGCAGTAACAACTGAAATAGTATCTTCTAAGATATAAGGGAATGCATTGGCACTAGACAACTTAAACCCAGGTCTGGAACTAGTACGCACACTATCAGGTTAGCAGCTGTCTATTAGTCAGAGATTAGAAAGTAGCTAGCATTAATATTAGCAAAGCTTGGAAAAAATTTTTAATGATCTTAGAGATTCAAGTGTTTTAACATGCTGACAGTAAGAAACAAAACTATTTACTTCTTTGGTTTCTGAAAAATGAAAAGAGAAAATCTGGTAACTTGCGGTTGATTCCTTAATTACTCATACCTCTTGATCCCCTGGACTTTGGAAATCTCCTTTGCTAATGCTTGCATCCCGAGTCCAACGAGGTGGTTTCCAAGTTCTTTCCTGTGTTCCCCTGTTATAGTAATAGCAACGCCCTGAGCTGTCTTTATGAGTTTCCCATTCTCCATTAATCTGAATTGCCGGGCTCCCAGGAAGTGGAGGAAGAGCAGACTGGGATATTTTCAGTTCTTGAAGATTAGCATAGACGGGAGAATCTGGCCTTCCTTGATTTGGAGGTGTGGTTGCCTATAAAATAAACATTTTTAAATTTCATGTTTAAACTGGTATAACATTTAAGTCAAAATTAAATAAAACAGGAGATTTATAAACATAATACTAATTCATTTTAAAACATATATACAGGTGACTATATTCTAAGGAAATAATAATTTAAGTCTTAATATTCATAGTTTCCTTGAAAAATAAATAAAAGCTTCAAACCGAATCCAAAGTATGCATAATACTTTACCTGAAACAAAGTGATGAAGAGTCAAGAGCTGTGGGTTCTAATTCAAGATCTGGCACTAGTAAGTTGTATGATACTGGGTAAGATCACTTTACTTCTCTAAAACTGACATTTTTTATCTCAAGAAATGAGGGAATTGGACTAAACCACCAAGGTCTTCTTTGGCTCTCAAATTCTATGAGTGTAAGCAATATTTTAAATAAAAAGTTTTGCATATGAGTAGCACAGCTTTTACTATGAAAATTATCAAAAGAAAGATTTCATATTCTAAGCTCTAACATTCAATCAGGAACATAAGTGAAACATAAAAGAGGAATAATACTTAAGCTAAGAATATACTACATTCTATTCCTTCTCAGGTATAATTTCTCAGAGGCTATAAACAAATCATTTAAATCATTTAATCTCTTCCTAGCTTCTTTATTTGTGAATTTCCTAACAGTAGAAAACTAAGAATTCATAGTAACTCTGATTTATATGTTTAATGTTAAGCTATAGCTTTATTTTTTATTTTTAAATATCTCACTAGATGTCAGTCAAGAGCAGGATACTTCATACCCTTTGTATAAAGACACTGTAAATTGTATTAGGTTTCACAGAACTTCAGTTGCCGAAGAAAAAAAGCACATGTCTGAGAACACCTGCTTATATTACGTATTTCTATTTCTGTATATGTTTTCCTTTTATAACAGAATTTCTTAACCCTAGTACCACTGACATTTTGAGACACAAAATTATTTGTTATGAGGGCTATCCTCTGCACCGTGGGATGTTTATCAGCTTCCCTAACCTCTACCCACAAGATGACAGCGGCACATGCGCACACCACACACACACACACACACACACACACACACACACACACACGCCTCCGATGTGACAACTGAAAAGCCTCCAAACACTGATGAATGTCCCTTGGGGGCAAAACTGGCTCTAGTTGAAGAACCAATGCTTTTCCCTATAAATCCTAGAATTATATTCAGATGTTCAATTACTTCTGTAATATAACTAGAGTTTCATGAATGCTTTAAAATACTGAATTTGAAAAGAATGTGAATGGAAACACTGAATCAGTTTTACTGAAATTAAAGTACTTTAACTTCTAAAAGTATTTGTCTATAATGTTTGTGAGTTTAAATCACTTTGTCTATAATGTTTGTGAGTTTAAATCACTGAATAAGCTGTAACTGTGAAAACAGTAGAAATAACCCAAACACAAATACATGTTCGTAAAATGGTCACTTTTGGTCTTATACATGGTAGTTATACATGTACTGTATTCAATGATGCAAATTCAACTATTTTCCTTAAAATGTTAGCTTCAAATTTATCACTAAACCACATCTATGAAGAAAATCTATCCATGGAGACAGGTATCATTTCTCCTTCAGATTAATTCCATATCCTAGTGAATGTGATTTCTCTGATGAAAACAAATTATTTAATATAAAAATTCTATATGGTAAATGTCTCAGAACCTAGAATATCTAGAGAATATTTATTCAACCAATATTAAAGAAGTTCTTACTTTGCTCCTGATACTTGACTAGAACTTGGGGAAATAAAGATGCCAAGAAACAGCAACTTTCTAAATGATGTTTATGAACAAACTCTACTAAATCTTCAAGAAACAATTAATTCCTGTTGTTTAAACAGTTCAAATTTTTAAAGTTTTTCCAGCTAGAAAAAACTGAAATGGCCTTTGGCACAATCTATAAGGCTGGCATAATTCTGAAACAAGAGCAGAGAAGAATTGAATTAAATAAAAGAAAACTGTAACAAATCTCACTTATAAACATGGAAGAAAATATCCTAAATAAACCATTAGAAATCTAGCACTACATTAAATGAAACAAACACAGATGTTAAGAAAGTCTGTCTTTAGGAAATCTCATATTGTAATTCTTTAGATTTATAGATAAACACGATCATCTCTACAGACACCAAGAAAGCGTGTGATAAAATTCAACACAGATTCAGGATATAACTCTTGGCAAGATAGGAACAGGTGACCCTTCCTTAATTTGACTTTTAAAAATTATTATTATTTAAAGTAAACATCACAATCAACAAGACAGGTAAGTTATTTCATTAAAGTTAAGATTAAAATTGAACTATATTATGGTCTATAAGGTTAACATAATTTTGAAACAAGAGCAGGGAAGAATTAAATAGAAGAATACCGTAAATATGTCTCACTTATAACTAAGTGCCAAGTATAACTGCTCTATTCAACACTGTACTGGATTTATACTAAGATACAAAAAATGAATTAAACTCATAAAATACACAGAAGAAAAAAGAAACTGTCATTTGTTGTTGAAATAACCAATAGTTAAAAACCAAAATTCACAAAAACTACTAAGAGTTTCACAAATTGACCAGATTTTTTATCATCTAGTCAGTTTCCCATACATGAGCAATGACAAATAGAAAATACAACAGGAAAGAAATCTCTTTCCTAATAGGAAAAAAACTAACACTTATAAGTAAGCCTTAAAAGAAATGTACAAAATCAAGTAAGAATATTTGTAAAAATTTCCTCAGGTACCTAAAATTAAACTTCAATAGATAAACCCTTGTTCCTAAATGGAAAATAAAACAAACTTCATAAACATGCTAATTCTCCAAAAATTAACCTATAGATTTCATAAATACAATGCAATATTTGGCATGCAATATTCAGTACACTGCCCAGTACACAGGAGCACTTAATTTGTTGAATGAATGAACAAACTATTAACAAACATGAAAAAAAGTATGCAAACACATATCTCCCCCAAAAAAGCAAAATTAAGGACCTGGAACCAGCTAGATGTGATAAAGAAAGGAAACTAAGAAAACATCCACGCTTCTAGTTTTGAAAAAATGATGGACAGCTGTGTCCTTTTTAAGCTAGAAACTTCTGACAAATGAATTGAGCGTCATGTACTCAAGCTAGGTGAGTAGGCTACAAATTATGAATTTAAAATTTCCTTGCCTTCTAGAACCTCATAACATGGTAAAGGAAAGTGAAACATGATAATAATAGACACAATGCTAGAGCTACACATGGGACACTGTGGGAGCAAAAAGGAAGAGACCTGGAAACAAGTGACTAAGCCTTAGAAATAAACAAACAGGAGTTGGCCAGGTAAAAGTTGGGGAAACAGCAGGGAGCAAGAACAAAAGCTAGGAAAAACAGCATGGTACTTTCGGGGAATGATGCTGACGTACAGAGTATGTAAAAGGAGCAGCAAGTGAAAGGCCTAAGGAAAAGCAAGTGACAGCACAGAGAGTTTGAAGGTCATGTTGCAAAACAAACATCCAGAAACATTTAGGGAACTACCGAAGATTAAGCCAGGAAGTGCATTCTGATTTAAATTTTAAAAATATTACAGATTTTAGAGGAACGCAACTAGGAGGTTGATACAGTAGCACAGACAGAAGATGAAGAGAGCTGCAATAGGACAAGACAGTAGGAATGCAGAAGTAGGGACAGATTCAAGAAACAATCAGAAGGTTAAATTAACATACAGGTTGTATGTTTGCTTTTGTGAAGTACAGTTTGTTTTATCGTGTGTGTAGTTTTACTACAGATTAATGTCAAGATGAAGAAAAGAATGGAAAGAGAAGGGCAAAGAGGAGTTACATTTAGATTGCATTAGGTTGGTAAGTCTTTTGAAAACCCAAGTGGAAATGCTAATAGAGTGTTGGTTATGTAAACTGGGAACTCAGTTCCCAATTTACAAAAATCAGGGCTAAAAATAGAAAAGTCATCAATATACAGGTAGGGTCAATAACACAGGAAAGCATACAGAGCAAGTGCAGGATGAAAAGAGAACCCTGGAAAATACTAAGCAGTTGCTTTATGAATTAAAATGAGAACATAAGTTTAAAGTCAGCACATGATCTCACATAGTGATTTCTATTGTTATTATAATAATCATTATTTCAATTAACATAACTAAAGAACCAGACTAAGAAGACAGAAAGGAAGTTAGAAGTAGAAGGTTTACCAGGAAAGAGTAGCATTTGAAAGTCAAGAAGGAAAATTTCGAAAGAAGGGAAACTCGACATTATCAAATTCAAAGACTTGAATACAGAGACTCTGAAACAATCACTCAATTCAGAAGTTTTTAAAGACTTCAGCTACCAGCCATGAGGATCTGAAACTATCTTCCTGCCATAAACTAGAAAAGCAAATAAAATTCAGAAAACAAGTATTGTGAGGCATTGTACAACAAGCAGCCAGACTGTAATCCTTGAGAGAAACAAACAAGGTGAATCCTACCATTCCCAGGCTTTGTGCCCGGAAACGGTTTGCAGGAATCAGCCCAGCAAAGGGAAACCCAGAGTCTAGCAATCTTGGTGAGTGAACAGGACAAACACTGGGAATAATACAAGAAATGGAAATAATTATAAACATCATACATTGAGAAGAGAAAAAGTTGAAAGAAATGCTCCCTATTTATTTTATTTTATTTATTTATTTATTTTTTTGAGACAGAGTTTTGCTCTTGTTGCCCAGGCTGGAGTGCAATGGCACGATCTCAGATCACCACAACCTCTGCCTCCCTGGTTCAAGTGATTCTCCTGCCTCAGTCTCCTGAGTAGCTGAGATTACAGGCATAAGCCACCACACCCGGCTAATTTTATATTTTTTTTTAGTAGAGACGGGATTTCTCCATGTTGGTCAGGCTGGTCTCAAACTTCCGACCTCAGGTGATCCACCCATCTCAGCCTCCCAAAGTGCTGGGATTATAGGCATGAGCCACCATGCCCAGCCCCTAATTTTTAA